TAAAGACTTATAAAAATATTAAACTACAGTATTTAGGATTTTTTGTTTTCGATCCTTACCATAGACTCCGACTGCTATGACTCCCAACAGCAAACTGACAAACAGAATCCCAAAACACCAGGCCGCCTGCTTATAGACTCGAAGCATGGCCTCTTCTTCCTTATCAGGCAACAGCACTGCTAGGGCTAAATAAGAAGAAAGTGTTAGACTCTATAGCTGCTTTATTTATTATATTCATCACTGTGTCTATTTTGATGATTCCATATAATTCAACCTATAAAAATTTTAATTCTAACCAACCAACCATTTAACTAACTAACTAATAACTTTTGGATCCTTTAACATCCTGAATTAGTTTTAAACCATCAGACCATCAGACAGTTGTAATAGGAAGTATGAGTCCTTGTGTTGACCTGTGCTTTTCTCTACATGCTTTTTTCCTGTAATAACTTACCATTTGTGTCATGTGTGCTTTCCGCTCTTTCACAGCACGTTTTGAGTTCATCGTACACAATCTCCTTCTCCTTTTTGGCTGCAAATTAAAGGCTTATTTTAGAATCAATGCAAACCAAACCTTAGCTCTAAAAGGGAAATTGAATAGTTTGATTTAACAATTGGTCTGTATTCTTTCTTAACACTGCAAAAGAATTAGATCTGAATAAGTATTATTTTTCTTAAAATAAGTGCATTTTTTCCTTGGATTTGCCAATGGAACAAGACAATCTACATTTAAAATAAGAAAAAAACAATTGCATTGTCTTATTTGAAGTGCATATTATCTAATTATCTTATCTTAAATGGTAAAGAATCTCATTCCATGGGCAAATCATCTTATTTACCTACTCAAATTAAGGGTAAATACACTTAATTAAAAATGTTTTACTTATTTCTTGATTGTTTTTGCAGTGAAGACAGTGATTGACAAAAAGATGTTGGTATTTTATATAATAGAAAACACATAAGAAATTGATTACATCTAAACAGAAGTTACAAGTTTCTGTAAAAAGATTTCTAAATAAATTTATTTAAAAAACAAAAGTAATTATCCAATATTTCCTTAAAATGTCAACATTAGAAAATAAGGGTTGTTCATTTGTAATAAAAAATGTTAATCAATCAATATAAAGTATTATAATAATATAAATATTTGCAGTTATGTTGTATTTCTTTTAATATGTTTCATAACTTACAGTTTGTGTAAGTTTTTTCTGTTGCTTCACTCTGGATCTTCACTTCATCATACACAGTCTCCTCGTCCTTCTTTGGAACTGAGAGACAAAGTTGATTTATTGTAAGAAATCTTCCTTTTGAATACATTTCAAGCATTAATTCTCTTTAAAACAGGACCTCTTGCAATCCAAATGTATTCACAAGCCTTTATAAAACTTTACCCAGGTATTTTACATAGCCACCCTGTATTCAGAGCATATATGTAATAAAAAAAAAGCACAGGGAATCACAAAAAACTGATGGAAAAGCAGAAGTATTTTAAAAAGTCTTTAAAGTTAGAAAACCAAAAATCTAGTGTGCGTTCGTATTCTGGCCAACCGAACCAATTATCTATAGAACCCCATCTGGTTTATACTGACAAAACAAAGCATGATGGTCCATCACCATGTTTACTAACTAAATGAACATCTCTGTTGGATAATGTCTCCCACCCCATGCATGAAGCTGGTGCTGAACTGGAGAGCTCCTTCAATGTCAGACTTCTGCACCCTAAATGCACCAGGGAGCGTTATCACAGATCCTTCCTCCCAGCAGCTGTAAGACTTTATAACTTTCTCTGTTCCCAACAACCTCAATAAGTTAACGTTAGAACTGTAAATGTTTATGTTACCATTTTTATATATTTATTTATTTTTAACTATTTTTCAAGGCTGCATAAAAAAAAAAAGAGGAAATTGTCCAGAGAGCTGTTCCAATCGAAATTTCTATTTGTTTTACACTTGTGTAAACCAAATGACAAATAAAATCTAAGTCTAAGTTGTTCCATTCATGCTGATTTTGCACAGTTTCTATCTTAGTAAGTTGCTGTCGTTTTGCCCATCTCTGATGTTGCTGCTATTTTTCAAATATCCAATTCTGTAAAAATGTCCATAGCTGTATATTGGTTATTTATTCTCCTGGTGCATAGTATTTATATTGGTAAAACATTTTACAGTACAGTATTTCATTTGTTTATTTTTAAATTTTTTACTATTATGTTATTCTTATACACTTTTCTAAGGTCAATATTTGTTTGATTACTTTCTCTGTTATCTTTTTGCTGCTGTAAACACCAGCATTTCCCCATTGTGGGACATTAAAGGGATTTTCTATTTCTATTCTATTCTACTTAGTGACATATTGTGTTTTAGGTGACATGCAAGATGTCAACCAAACAGAGTCGCTTCTTATCAGGAGTGTCTCTCTTCCTGCTACTGGTTCATAAAAAGCCGATTTGAAAGATACACGGCAAATCAAGCAAGGCCTTTTAGAAAACCAGCTGGATTTACATTGAGTTCAGTTGGC